TAAGCGGTTTCAGCTTTCTTGTCACACGGTTTCGGTTTCGGCTTTCTTGTCACGCTTCTTGTCACAATGGAGTTTTCAAAATCCTGAAGAACTATATAGACTTATAAATTGCTTAGGTTTGTGGCCTATATAGCGTCTGACCAGAACAAAGTGAAGAATGTGTTTGTCAAATGCACCAAATGTAAAAATGCCCGACAAGTGACGTTTGAGAAGAGTACCGATGTTCGCAGTGAGTTTTCTATTGACTTTTCTTTCATTTAATAATGTTCCTATTAAGACTACTACTGGACTGGTGTAGAAAATGTGATTATCTATTTGCGAGACAACGATGGCGACGAAAACTGGAAGCTGTTCAAGAAGAATATATCTGACGTTAGTTCCCTTGGTATTGGGGTGAGTGGAAAGTGTTGCGACACAGTAACCAGGTTACTGACAACGATTTGTCGTACGATGAAATACGATTTGTGTCGCTGGTATTTAGAATCCTCACTGCTTACAATCATTTCCACCCACAATCACGAGAGAATAGGACAATGGGTAAACAAATTTTTTTTCCATCGAGTTATGGAGTTTTCCTTCGCCATGAGCACAGAAACATCGTGGAGATAGACGGAGAATGCCAGTAAGAATTATAATCGAATCGGTGAAGAGACCTCAGGGCTAGGGCCGGCCTGATTTTGCTCCCAAGCTAACCAGGAAAGGTCAACAGGTCAGCCCGGCCATTTCCAATGAGGTGCACACCGTTGTACGAGTCTTGGGACGGTGAACTCGAATCTACCTTCAGAATTTGCGGAACGACTCTCTGAACGGAGTTATGGAGGGTTTTATCCCCGCGTGGTGTTTCACATGCTATCGCGAGGAAACGTGGAAGCGTCTTCATATACAAGAATGGAGTCAATTGAAACGTGGCAGTAGAGCGCAACGGATAGCGAGCGGGTTTACTAGGACGTCGTAGGATCGGTTCTCGGCAGGGTGCCTTTTTTGCATTTGTCCAAGAACATGGCCGACAAAGCTTCTAACATCTCTGCTCGCCTGCACTATCCTGTAAGGAAACTGCGACCAGTTTTTTTTTCGAAAGTGTAGACCCATTATGGCCTGAAAGAGTGCTCGTGCTTGTCCCCCCGTAGCACATGTCACAAGGGTTTTTGCAATGAAATACCATCATATTCATGTTCAGCGGGTTAAATTACCCCTGGGGACAAGTTTCTAGCCGAATCTGATATTTCGACCTCACTTGGAAAATGTGGGCTATTCCATGGGTAATTAGCAGCAGATTGGAGCTCACCTACCATCGATGACTGGTCTCGGAATGGGATTTTTTCCCAGTAATCAGGAAAATGATGCAGACGGCACGAATAAATAAGCCAGGTATTGTTCTTTGCGAAAAGACATGACTGAAGAGTTATTTCAGTTCGAAGACCAGTCATCACCAGTATGCTAGTCATAGTATCGCTGTTGGCTATCAGTCAGCCATGACTATCCATACCCCATTTTTTCGAAGTTGAGTCAGAACCTCAGATTTCGCTAAGGTGACGTCTCTGGGGGTTATTTGACCCCCTGAACACGAATATGATACCTATTCTGCGCAAAGAGCGCTGTGTGTCGCGCTATATGTGCCAGCGCTTCGGCGCCAG